CCCTTATTTACATTTGCCAGCAATGTAAACTCTGAGAGAAAAGTTCATTTGCCACGCAGGTCTTCGTCAGTTAATTTATTCCATATCTTGGCCTAAAGGAAATTTAAACGGTTGATAAATAACCCACAGCTGAAAACACAAGATCGCACAGTGATTTGGCATGTGAGAAACATTTTTTGCCTGAGAGATTTGTGTTTGTGTCAGTGAGAAACACAATAAAAATAAGTGGAGGGTTATTTTCGATCTCTGATAGTAAAAAAATTTAATAACCGATTAATCGGCTAATTGATTAATCGAAAGCATTCGATTAATAATTGCAATTAATCATAAGAAATTAACCGATTAATCGATACATTTCTTGTTAAATTGTGGAAGCATTCGCCATGAATTCAGTGCGCTAACAATCGAGAAAACTAAAAAACGAAGGGAAACAATAAATAAAATTATGTAAAGTAGTATATCATCCGTTATACACCCCGTGTCAAAATTATAAGCGCACCACAAGAATTTTTTTTCGTTATTTAATTTTAGTTATTTTTTTAAATACAGCTTATTCTTTAGCAAAAACCGTATAAATATAAATATATCAAACTTTGTGCAATATTAAAAAATTAAAAAAAAATCGGGCTTTTTTATTAATTTCTTAGAAAAATTTTCAGTATGCAGTTTTGTAGCCCACAAAATTTTTTTATAAAAAATTGGAAGNTATGTGTGTTGTTTCCATACTGCAATATCTAACATTGTATCTAATGGTTGTGTTTTTTATGTTTTCTTTTCCAAATAAATAAAAACAGACTCCCTGAAGAAGGCGAAAAACAACGCCGAAACGCGTAGGAGGAAAAAAGGAAACTTGTTTTTGCTTTTTTAAACTACCGGCCGGAAAAGCTCCTAAAATAAGAAAAACAGTAATTTACATTTTGATAGAAGTTATAGCTACTATTTCGGGCAGCTATTCTACTGCTATTTAGACTTGACCATAATGTTGTTGGTGATTTTTTGTTAATAACTATTCTATATTTAGGGCTAGGTTTGGGCAAATGAGCGTTAGTGCGAAATTTATGTCCAAGAGAGGGCCACATTTCGATGGTCCTCTCCAATAACTTCTGGTTTTCACAAACTCGTCCAGAAAAATAGTGAGGCCGACTTCGGGCTAGTGAGAAGCAAATATTACTAGCTCAAAATGGCTGTCAACAGCCCGAGAATCAACCAAAGAGACAAAAATTTACCGCTTTCGGGCACCTGCGGGCGAGCAAAAGAACAGACTCGTTGTGTGTCCCGGTTTCAAGAATCCTAAAGTTGGCAACCGTGGTCTTCACACCGAATTTTGTACTCGGTAACTTGGTGTTCAGTAATTTTCACCCTTGTATTTTGTTTGTGTAAAATTATTTTATTATCGGTTTACCGGTTACCGGATTATCGGGGTTAGAGCTTGATAATTTTCTGGTAGTTGGTAAACTGCAATCAGCTGTTTGATATTATCCAATTTTAAATCCGCCCGCTGCCGAAAGGCAAAAAGCATATGAGTAAATAAAATTCCATCAAATTTCTGTTACAATTCNTGTGTAAAATTATTTTATTATCGGTTTACCGGTTACCGGATTATCGGGGTGGAAGCTTGATAATTTTCTGGTAGTTGGTAAACTGCAATCAGCTGTTTGGTATTATCCAATTTTAAATCCGCCCGCTGCCGAAAGGCAAAAAGCATATGAGTAAATAAAATTCCATCAAATTTCTGTTACAATTCTTTTTTTTTATGGGAAAAAAGCTACGAATCAGCTGTTGGTAGACATAGTTTACCAGACTAACAAAAGAAAGCTGAAAGGACGTTCACAGTTGATGAAATTATCGAGTACCAACTAGCAGTTTACCAAGTACCAACTAGCAGGTGTACCCTTAATACCCTTAATATTATTGAGATGTAAGAGTGCCAATTTTGTTACGTAATTTTTATTCATACATTCTTATGTAAGTAAAGTAGTAAATTTTGATTATTTCTTTTCGATTTTGAGAATTAATCTGTTAATCGCTCGATTAATCGAAAGGAAAATTTCAATACGATTAAATCGTTAACCAAATGAAAATAACCGATTATAATCAGTAATTCGATTAATCGTGCCATCACTATGTGTATCTACAATTAATACAACTATGTAATAACAAATTCTTACACGGCTGACTACTCATATCTAATAGCGTAGGTGCTGAAGAATCTGGGAAAAAATGCCATATATTAACACTAATTTTATCAGGCGACTTTAATGCCAATTTTGCCATGATGCAGCCCAGTATCTGAAAAATTTCCTATAAGGACCATGAATAATGACCTCTAAATGGCATCGAGAAAAGTTTCACTACTGTAGAGTGAAAAAGGCGGACTCATTTGGCACGTTTAGAAGGCGCAACAGCTCAGTAACTGTAGCGATTGCACCTTACGAACGCGTTTTTTTGTACTTCTGTGCAACTGAACAGTTGCGTGTTAGATGATCGTAATATTTTTCTGATCATTTGAGACGACATGTTGTGTGTTGTTGGATTTGACAGTAGGGAGCAAACGACGCATCGATGTTTTAGAAACATCGATAATATCGGTTAAATTTTCGATGTTTGCCATCGACGTTTACAATTTACTAACATCGTGAAATGGACGATACATCGATGGAAGTTTTACCGGTGTTTTAAACATCGAAGTAAGGAGACTCTCCGAATTTCTTTCGGTATGTTTGACTGACCTTAAATTTATTATTCATTCAGAATTTTTTTGTTATTTATGGCCTTATAACAATTGTATTCAGTGACCGCGGTTGAAGAAGTCTGATTAGTACATGTAGTGATCTCCCAAATAGCAGCTATAACTTCTTACCTTTGTAAATTATTGTTGCTTCTCCNATCTGGGAAAAAATGCCATATATTAACACTAATTTTATCAGGCGACTTTAATGCCAATTTTGCCATGATGCAGCCCAGTATCTGAAAAATTGCCTATAAGGACCATGAATAATGACCTCTAAATGGCAGNTCGATTAATCGTGCCATCACTATGTGTATCTACAATTAATACAACTATGTAATAACAAATTCTTACACGGCTGACTACTCATATCTAATAGCGTAGGTGCTGAAGAATCTGGGAAAAAATGCCATATATTAACACTAATTTTATCAGGCGACTTTAATGCCAATTTTGCCATGATGCAGCCCAGTATCTGAAAAATTTCCTATAAGGACCATGAATAATGACCTCTAAATGGCATCGAGAAAAGTTTCACTACTGTAGAGTGAAAAAAGCGGACTCATTTGGCACGTTTAGAAGGCGCAACAGCTCAGTAACTGTAGCGATTGCACCTTACGAACGCGTTTTTTTGTACTTCTGTGCAACTGAACAGTTGCGTGTTAGATGATCGTAATATTTTTCTGATCATTTGAGACGACATGTTGTGTGTTGTTGGATTTGACAGTAAGGAGCAAACGACGCATCGATGTTTTAGAAACATCGATAATATCGGTTAAATTTTCGATGTTTGCCATCGACGTTTACAATTTACTAACATCGTGAAATGGACGATACATCGATGGAAGTTTTACCGGTGTTTTAAACATCGAAGTAAGGAGACTCTCCGAATTTCTTTCGGTATGTTTGACTGACCTTAAATTTATTATTCATTCAGAATTTTTTTGTTATTTATGGCCTTATAACAATTGTATTCAGTGACCGCGGTTGAAGAAGTCTGATTAGTACATGTAGTGATCTCCCAAATAGCAGCTATAACTTCTTACCTTTGTAAATTATTGTTGCTTCTCCACAACATTTTTCATAAAAACGGTCCCAAGTTCAATAAAATAGTGGGATTAATTCTGAATCTAATAACCTAGCCGTTAAAACAGAACCAAACACCCCTTAGAATTTCAACAAGATCATGCCTAGGATCTTTAGGCCCGAACGACCTTACGATGGTATGCATTTTGATTCTAATAATGGAAAGGGTATAGAAAGGATAATAAAATACAGGAAAATACATTCATAATTATTATTAATTAGAAATTAACAAATTGCAAAATATCGGAAACCATCGATATATCGATATTTCCCTGGCGATGTATTTTAGCCTCGATGTTCTTTTATCCGATGCATCGAAACATCGATGTATCGATGTTACTGCTCAAAATTTGCATCCCTATTTGACAGCTACTGTATCAAGCCGTTCACAAGACGCATTACGATCACTTATTTTTTTTTGGCAACGGTTGCGCTCAACTGCTGCGCCTTCTGAACCTACCCATTGTTTTCAGCAGAAACCTGGCATACATTTAAAATTTAATATAATATTAACGAGATAAGCAGTGAAATGTGGATGAAGAAAAGGAGAAAGGAAGAGATAAAAATAGAAATACAATTACGTAAAGATAAAGACAAAGATAAAGGTAAGTTGAAATACATACTCAGTATAAGAATAAAGGTAAATGTAAATATGTAGATGAAGAAAAGAATCAAAATATAGAGGGATTCAGATATAAATTAAGGTAAAGATAAAGATGAAGATGAGGATGAGCATAAGGACAACGATAAAAATAAAGGTAAAGATAAAGATAAAGATAAAGATAAAGATAAAGATAAAGATAAAGATAAAGATAAAGATAAAGATAAAGATAAAGATAAAGATAAAGATAAAGAACCCCAACTCACCTCATTTCACTTCTACTCACCTCACTTGAACATACCTCATCTCCCCTCAACTTACCCCACCTTAACGCACCTTACTTCCATTCACCTCACATAAAAATAAAACTCACCCCAACTTACGTTATTTCACCTCATCTCATCTCAGCTTAACAAAATATATAACAAATAAATTTTAGTTCTGAATTGATGGGCCCAGGTGCACTTTTTTAAATTAACGATTTATATTCTAATTTGTTCGCATCTTCGTTAAGTAACGAATTGACTCACAATTAAAAATTATCTTTACATAAGCGCATTGTCAAGAGCAGTTTGGTTTACTTACCGAAATATTTGAGTTTCTTTCATACTTCGGTGCCACATTAGCCGTCGATAAGTTGTATTTTGAGCGGTCAGCTTTCGGTAAAGGACGAGCATAAACATAGCTGCTATACATATCATCAGACGAGGGTTGCTGAGTAGCGGTTGGCATACCCAAAATGGGCGCATGAGTAAGCCTCATTACAATGTCTTTCGGCTGGGCGTACGCTGAGGACATGTTTGTTCCACGATTCAATCGTCGCTGCTGTTCTAGCATTCTATCGCGTTCCCGCTCTCGGTCATAATCAAATGAATTGCAGTGCGGTAGACCATGTAGTTGCGCGTGGAAGTCATGCGAGGTTAGCGGAGCACGATCATCAAATTCAATTAACTGCTGATCTGGTGGAAAGGATCGTTGTCGGTATGTTTGAAAATCTTTACCGCCAGCTACTACAGACGATTGACGCATTGGCTGCAATGGCGGTTGATGGTAATTGCAATTGTGTGATTTCGACACGGAAGCATAAACGCTGTTGTCTGTATTATTGTAGGGATCTCCTTTAACGCCATTGCACGTGGCATTAGGAGTCGCGTAATGCGAATTTAGTTGATTTGAAATGTTGTAAGGGAGTGGATAACGATTGCCTGAAACGTTGTAGGGATGACAGTAAGCGGCATTTATTCCACAGTTATTAATACCATTATTGGAACCGCCACCGGACGCAACCACAGCTGCATAGGAAATGCTACTACCGCCCATACTTGCGCCATCCAGGCAATCATAAGGTAATTCGTAGACGTGCTGCGATGGCAACTGGTGTGGGAGTTTGTAATGATGTGCGGTGCAACCTTTCTGCTGATGATCAAATGAATGTCTATGTGGCAATTGCGGCACAGCTTCACTATAATGCTCCAAGCTTCGTGAGTGTTGCATGCCTGCAGGGGATACTCCATACGCAGCGGGCTGCGAGTGTTGGTATCCTGATATTGGGTAAGAAGGCATTTTGCTATTCCCATTGTATAAATGATTTGGCACTGTTGTCGATGCTGGTGCATGAAGAGCACATGTGCCATAGTTGTCCGTATGCCTAGGGTATTGCGGATGCGATGGCATACGATTATAAAGAGCACAATTCGGACACTCAGAAGTTGTCGGAGTGATATTTAAAGTTTGTGATGAATGTTGCAAGCTAGCGTAACAATTATCTGCAAACCAAATAGGAAACGATATATATTTTCGATAAAATAATACTAATTACACCATACTCACCAACATTTATAAGTTTTTCCTTTCGCAGCCGCTTTTCTTGAATAGCATAAGCCAAACCTTTGATTGCTTGTGTGGATCCGCCTTAAAAGAATGAATTACTGGTTATTGAAAAGTTCGATGACACTGAATATACGCCATAATATAAAAAGCTTTGTTTATATTTACCAACAAATTTCTCTCGAAAACTAAAAACATCTTGCCAAGAACATGTCAGCCCTAGTGCAATCAATCCTGCGTAAATATGTTCCATTATTTGGCACTCAACATAAGCCGCCATTGCATCGCGCGATACGTTTGTTACTTGATCGGGGCAGATAGGACCATCTAGTAGAAGAATTTCATCAGAAACCTGTCTGTAGCCCATAGCCTCGAAAAGTTTTTCAGCATCAAACAAATTTGATTTAATTTCATGCTGATAGAAACCGGAATACATCTGAAAATAAGCAATTTGAATAAATCCTTTACGATTATTCCTTTCAAGTTCATTCAAAACGAACCTTTAACACTCTAAACTCTTTTCGCCAAGGTTTTGTAAACAAGTTATTTGCATAGTGACTGATGGAACGAAAGCCAATGATTGCTTTATACGCATTAAACTCTTCCATTTCCCGTATCGATTTCCTGAGAACGTGAGCAGTCTCGGGAAGAAAAAATTTACGATCATGAGGCACAATGCAAAGAAACTCCTTAAGGCAATCTAGATCCCAAGAAAAATTATTCCTTTTAATATAGCTTCTTAAATAAATGTAAATAATATATACTCTCTAATTTTTTTCCTTCCTCAATCTTTTGAATGCTTCCGTCTGTTTCCAAATATGTCCAGTGACGTTTAAGGATCTCCTCCCACAGGTCGGGAAGCATATCTCGAGGCATAAAGTCCGACATTGTTATACTTTACGTGTTCGTTTGTCAAAAAGTCTGAAATATTAAGTAAAATGTTGAGAAAGTACAAAATTTAAAGTCAGTTTTATAATCTACTTGAATTTAAAGGGCGATCTCCCAAATTAAAGAATAAGAGTACTCGCTTTGAGGAGATCTAGTAGCAATAAACGAGTGTTTTCGGTGTTGTACTCCGTTATTTCTAGCTTAGGAGCAAAAACGGACGGATCCCAAGCGCATAATAAAACAATGCTGCTTAAGATATGATTTAGGACAATATTGTGCTAGTTTGATCGTGTTGATTTTTAATATTTTTTCTTCTGAAGGTGTTACGCATTTTCTATAATACAATGTATGTATTTCGCTAATATTTTTATAGGAAAGAATATGTAGAACGCCCTCGGCAAAAAAAAACTGAAAAACTAAAGCGGATTTTAGAAATCTTTCGATAATAATAATATATTTGGCGCTCAACTAGTTTTGTATAAAGTTTGAAAATCGAATTTAGATGTTTTTTGTTATAGAAAATGATGTACTTTTATAAACAAGTAGTTTTTAAGCAAAAAACAAAATCGACTTCAATTCTCATATAAGAATTTAAGAGTACCGTTACTTTTTTCATGATCCAATGATTTGATCTAAACCAAATTAGTATGGGACCACCTCTGAGGTACCAACAGAAAAGAATTATGGAAATCGGTTAACGTGGTCCAAAGTTATGCGGTAACATACAAAAAAAAAATTAAAATATTCCGACGAATTGACAACCTTCTCATTTCTTTGAAGCCGGTTAAAACTGAATGAATGTTAAATATTTAAACTAAAGGAAAACTGTCAACGAATCTCACAAATGAATATACATTTACCCCTCTATTCTAACAGAGTCACAAAACTTAGCTCTTCACTGTTGTGATTTCTAGTACGCCGCAAAATGTATCATAAAAGTTCAATTTTAAGTGCTAGAAAAATTCATAACAACTTAATAATTTATTTTGTAGCGGCATATTTGTTGCAGCGGCAAACTTTGAAGCAGTGGTGAGCTAAGGTTTGTGACTTCGTTTGAAAACGGCTGTTATTGTTAACTTTTTAGTTTCTAAAATATTGAATTTGTTTACTTTTATTTTTTAACCGACTTCCAAAAAAGGACGAGGTTTTCAGTTCGTCGGAATATAGTTATATATTTTTATGTATGTTACCGCATAACTTTGGACCACGTCAACCGATTTCGATAATTATTTTTGCATCGGAAAATTAGTGTCTCAGAGGTGGTCCCATACTAATCTAGTTTAGATCCGATCATTGGATCATGAGATATATATATATATATATATATTTTATATGAGAATTGAAGTCAGTTTTTTTTGCTAAAAATTAAATGTTGTTTCACTTTTTAGTATGGCTAGGAACTCCATCCGGAATTTTTGACTATACGGATGATCTATATATTCGTATATCTAAATAAAAAATTAAAATATTCGGATATCCGAACAGTGTGCTGATATTTTCATATCCGAATAGTGAGATATCCGTATATCCGGATTTAAGTATTAGTAAATTTACCTTTCCCCCTTTTTGTAATAAGTTGTTACGAAATTTCATCATTAAAGACATAAATGCAATTTTTAGCATCCATGAAATCTCGGACGAAGATAGAATTTCGTTTCGTTAAAAATTAAGAAGATTTACGCTAATGCATATTTGCATATTTTGCAATCGTATGTATGCATATGTTTATTTATAGTGTACATGTGCTCTTTACGATCAAATCGTGCAATTTTAGCTACATAAGTGCTTAACAGGGTTTGTTACGAATATTCGAACTCGCATTCACAAACGCGGAGCTTCCGCATTAATTTTAACATTCGCAATAATCAATGCGNCGATCAAATCGTGCAATTTTAGCTACATAAGTGCTTAACAGGGTTTGTTATGAATATTCGAACTCGCATTCACAAACGCGGAGCTTCCGCATTAATTTTAACATTCCCAATAATCAATGCGAAGCTTTTGCGAATGCGAATGTTGTGCAAGTGCACCGATAAAACGTATATCTGGCAAACAAAATAATAATTTGTAGCCAATATTTTTTACCTTTGGTCGTGGGAATCCACTTTGATAAAAATGTATTTAAACATATTATTTCTTAAGCTATATAACCGAGCTATCAATGGGCAGTCATATAAGTTCCCACTTCTACTTGACCTTTGACTTACGTCAAAGAGAACATAATCCTATTAACAATATTTTTTTTCCGTGCTTTAAATACCTGCATTTCTTTCTTTATTATGATTTTTTTGGACCAATCTTAAAAAAAAACTACTAGACGCAAAAGAAGAAAGTGTGCACTGTATATTCGTTTCAATAATTTCAAATGGGGCTCTTTGAGGAATTTATTTTTACTTGTCGGGCAATATTTTTTTATGGGGATATACATTGGATCCTTGGCTAAAAACTTCTGTGGTAAAATTGCCCCTTTGTAATTTAAAGACAAAGAGTAAGCTCCTTCAATAGGGATTTCCAACAGAAATGTTCAACGTCTGGCTATGAAGAGAATCCATGCTCAAATAATTAAAAGGCTATAGGTCTGACCTTTAATTATATAAGAATTACGTAACTATCTGAGATTCAAATATGTACTTATAAAAAAACGGGGTGCTTCTTTTTAAATAAGAATATTCTGATCCGACTTTGAAACAGAATTTTGTTCAAAATTTTCATTTCTGGAAAATAATAATTTTACAAAAACTAAAATCGAAAAACTCTGATGGAGTTACAGATTACCCAAATTCTGAAACAGCCAAAGGGATGAGAATTAAGAATTCTTTTTAAAAAGCTTTAGGAAAACCTGACACATCTGGTTTGGCTTGTAAGCGCTGTTTAAACAACGATATCGCCATTAAACTAGATTATAATTGTTTCTTAAAAATACTTGACATCTGCTCTGTTTCTTAAAAATACCGCATCCGCGGATGTTAGCTGTTAGATATTCGTATCCGCATTCGCATCCGCGTTCATCCTGAGCTATAACAATGGTTTAGTACAACATAGAAATAATTATCAGTTTTTTGTTATTATTACATTTTTTACGATTCAATAAAAGATATTTCGGACTGTGCAGGATCCCTTTAAAATGTCCCTGGAGACTATTCTGAAGACCACTGTATTTCAATGTGATTGCTCCAATAATTTTGGAACAAATTTATTATTGCTCTACTCACTTCTGGTAAAGTAGAGAAATATTTTGTTCATCATTTAAATAAATTTTTAATAATAAAGGGTGGGTTGAGTGGGGTTATTATAGCTGGCTGACCGCTCCACAAAGAGCCCTAGTGATGGAGATAGAGGTTTAGTTAAGTAAATTCCAAGCATGCATCATTTAGGATGTCAACGCTTTTTGAGAATTTTAGTAGTGCTTGAAGCCCAAGTGTTGTCACGTCTTCAAGATTATTAAACTCTAAAACTCCGAGACATTTCAATAGTTTTTTTTTGATAGCAGGACAATGGCATACGATGTGTTCAAGGGTCGCTCTTGTTGCCGTCCCCATGCATTTCCTGTAAACTTCACTAACAGCAATCTCCATTTTGCTTGCGTGCGCTGCCAACATGTTATGTCCTGTTATGACACCTATCATACGTCTCTTTGTGTCCAGTTTTCTAGCCTGCACATGACGTTAGACATTGGACAGGTGTTTAGCGCATTCCATCTCGATATAGTCTGCTTTCTCATCCGCTGTTCTATTTCGTTATAACGATTTTTTAGAGGTTTCAGAATGTTATTCTCTTGTTCTAGAACCAAGTGGACTCCGCTCATGGCAATCTCATCTACAATTTTGTTACCTGTAATGTCCTTGCCGGGGTTCCAATAAAAATGAAGTCGCCTGTTTGCTGCTGCCCTATTTATGGCATCCCTGCTTCTAAGGGCATTTTGTGACGTAAATTGGTATGAGCTGATAGCTTTACGCCGTGTCCAGCGTAGACACGAGAAATTCGGTGCGGGCGGTGCGGTGCGTTAAATGCGGGCAGATTACAAAACCAAACATATATTGGCAAATGTAGATGTCCAACATAGGCACGATTTTGCGTAATGCGTGCATTGCGACGTCCCCGCATCGCACGCATCAAGCTCGTTTGATTTTCCCCGCAGTATCGTGCAAGAGATTTAGCAGTGAAGATGGAAATTCTTATATCAGAAATACATTTCAAAATGTAAATGAACAACTACAAAATTAAACTTAAAAAAATTCAATATTTGTGTTTTAATTACCCCAAAGTTAGAAAAAGCCTCTCTTCAACGGATATAAGCGGATATAAAGGATAAAGTTTGTTGTGCTTTTTTCAGTACAATGGTAAAAGTACAATTTGCCGATTTTAAGTAAAATTTCAACATCAAAAATACTTTTTCTACCAAACGCTCAGATCTCTTCTAGTACTTTTATTCTTAATCCGTTTACATTTAAGTAACGTTTAAGTATTTGCTACAAAACGAAATTAAGAATTGTAATTTTGGATGTAAACGTGATTTTGAATAGTAATGTTAGTGTTGTGCGTTATGGTGATTGCGAATTCTTATTACCGGCGGCTGAAATATCCCTCCTAGCTATAGAAGTAATTGAGCAATTCGGGGGTTGAAAGTAAAAAAATGTATGTAAATTTCATGCGTTGAAATTAAAAATTTCTATTGAGGATTTCCTTTTTATCGATAGTGATCTCATTTTATATGATTTATTTTCATTAATATGAACTGACCTATATAGTGTATTAATTTTTATAGCCGACCGCACTTGCGCACAAGGGTATATTAATTTTGTTCACATAACGGTTGTTTGTAACAGCCAAAACGAATCGAGATAGATATAGACAACAGTATACATAAATGCTCAGAATGAATAGAGAAGTCGATTAAGGCATGCCTGTCTGTCCGTCCGTCTGTCCGTCTGTCCGTCTGTCCGTCCGTCCGTGTACACGATAACTCGAGCAAANATCCACGGTTCCATATTTTCGTGTACGTTTTTACACATTCCAAAGAAAAATTACGCATTCGGGAGAATTTTTTACTCATTCGGGAGAATTTTCTACTTTAGNAACTGACCTATATAGTGTATTAATTTTTATAGCCGACCGCACTTGCGCACAAGGGTATATTAATTTTGTTCACATAACGGTTGTTTGTAACAGCCAAAACGAATCGAGATAGATATAGACAACAGTATACATAAATGCTCAGAATGAATAGAGAAGTCGATTAAGGCATGCCTGTCTGTCCGTCCGTCTGTCCGTCTGTCCGTCTGTCCGTCCGTCCGTGTACACGATAACTCGAGCAAAAATTGAGATATCTCAACGAAATTTGGTATGTAGGTTTCTATTAACCATTCTATTAACTGTAACCACGTCCACTTCCCATATAACGGTAATTTCCAGAAATACGAAAACTGCGATATTTTAGTAACTACTG